CTTTGAAAACCTCTGGGCTTGGAGAATATGAAGTCATTTCTTTGCCAGACAGGAAAGGAGCTATTTTTACAGAATCACTGTGAGGCCACTGCTTCCCAGTGACTGCAGAGCAGATTCCTTAGAGCAGTGGCACCTCTACCACCATAGTGACTGACTACAAAGCCCATCTCTCCCTACCCAAGGAGAGCACGTTTTTTTAACATCTACATTTTTTTAAGAGCAGTTTTAGGTTCATAGTAAAACTGACCAGAAGGTACAGAGATTTCCCATATGTCCCTTGCTCTGCACATGCACAGCATGTCGCCCACTATCAACATCCCCCACCAGAGTGGTACATTTATTGACAAACCTACACTGACACATCACCATCACCCGAAGTCCATGGTTTACATGAGGGCCCATTCTTGGTGTCGTCATACATTCTACGGGTTTGGACAAATGTATAATGACACCTATCTACCATTATAGTTTCAGACAGAGTGGTTTCACTACCCCAAAAATCCTCTTAGGAGACCCCATTTTTATTTTATAATTCTAAAAAAACTATATGAAGGGCACTTGGGTGGCTCAGTTGGTTGAGCATCCAACTCTTGATTTTGGCTCTTGATCTCACGACTTGTGAGCCCCCAGCTGGGATCTGCACCGATGGCACAGAGCCTGCTTAGGATTCTCTCTTTTCCTCACTCTCTTCTCCTCCCTGCCTCTCTCTCTCTCTCTCTCTCACTCGCTCTCAAATAAATTAAAAAAAAAAGCAATTAAAAAAAAAACTGTATGATGAAACCCCTACAGAGGATACAACTTAAAGCTCAAGTATTAGAAACACTGCACTTGAAAACCGGTCAGCCACAAAGATTAAGCAATGAAATAACATGTCAGTTAAGAAAGTCACAGGAGCCACGCTGTTCTGTGTAGCTACCACTTGCCAAAGCCACACTTTCATTGGTTTCTTCCCTCTTGTGTTTCCACCCCTGTGTATAAAGCCCGCGCTCTGTGGCAGGCGCTGTGCTGTTAAGAGTCAGCCCATATACCAGCACTGCTTTCTGAGGGATCCAAAGGTGCAGTGATGAATCCCAGATATCCCAGGGCCTCCGGCAGCTCCCTAATCCACCTGAAATATGCTGGGGTGCTTTAGACCCATGGTGCCGCACCTGGCTGCACATCAGAGCTGCCTGGACAACACCGTGTTCAGAAGGGCCCGCACTTAGTTTAATGCTATGCTGTCACAGGCTTGAAATCCTTCATAATTTCCAAACAAGGAGTCCCACGGTCTCATTTTGCACCTCGGTCTGACCCACAAATTATCGTAACTGATCCTGCGGGCAGCTTTTAAGTATGTTCAGGTGACTCCAGTGGGTGGCCAACTTTGGGAAACACTGGTGTTGGAGAGAAGTCCTTACCTGGGGTGTCCCTTGTATGTTGTAGGGGACATCAGATTCACCTGGAGCCCTTCCTCAAACTCTGCACACTGATGTAGAAATTGATGGATATTCTGATTCCTAAATATTCTGACCCCACCCGATTCCAGGCAGGAAGTTCCAGCAAATGTGACATCTGTCTGTGAGACAGTCCCACTGTGTTTGCAATTCCCTGCGTGTGAGTTGCTGTGACAGGGACTACACATGAACTGTTAGGACCTGCACAGTTGGAGCACAGTGGCCCCTCAGTGGTGACTTCATACGGCTGTGTTCCCTGTGGCACTGCTAGTCGAGCACACCTGTAGAGAGGCAGTGTGGCTCTGTAGAGAGGCCAGAAGCACGATGGGCATGGACGGCAACCCTGGCTCTGACTCATAGCTGTGGGGTTTGGGCGTGTTTTTCTTGTGCCCCAGTTTCCCTATTAGTAAAATGAGCATCATAGTACCCAGCTCATGAGGGTGCTATGAAGATTAAGTGAGATACGACCTGTAAAGAGCCTAGCACATTGCCTGGCACATAGTAGGTGGTCAGTAGACATTGGTGTCCTATCTTCTCTAAGACAAAATGTTACCATATCTGTCCCCTCAACTCCTAAACTGTCCTTTTACTAAAAGAAAATGTAACTCATTATTATAACAACAAGGAAGAAATACTAACCGATATTCTTCAGTTGGCATACTTATCAAATATGCAATTTGTATTCATCTAGCTCATGGTTATTCAATATAGATCAATCTATAGATATAGATTATATAGATATACACATACACATATATATGCATACATGTAGACGCGTGTATACATGTATACAAATATATACACATGCACATATAGTATACACACATAGGTACATATACATACACCCGCATATGTGACAGGACCCTGTTGTGCAGTACTTTAAAAAAAATGTTACTCAGTTCAGGGCTCCTGGGTGGCTCAGTTGGTTTAAGTGTCTGACCTCAGCTCAGGTCATGATCTCTCAGTTTGAGGGTCTGAGCCCCGCATTGGGCTCTGTGCTCACAGCTCAGAGCCTAGAGCCTGCTTTGGATTCTGTGTCTCCTTCTTTCTCTGCCCCTCCCCCACTCACGCTCTGTCTTTCAAAAATAAACATTAAAAAAATTAAAAATAAATAAATATTTTAAAGATAAAAATTTAAAATAATGTTACTCAGTTGACCAACAAAAGTAATGCTTATTGTAACAATTCAAACATCAAAGTAACATAAAAGTAACTAAATTAAATTGCCTAGCTTTACTTCCCACTCCTACTCCACCCTTGTAGGGCAACCATTTTTAAAAATACCTGTAATTTGAAGTTTAAATACATTTTACATGGATTTTGTCCCTTGTTTTTCTTTTGCACCCATACACACACACTCCATTTGGGTACATACCACATTCCCATTCCGTAACTTTCTTCATTTAACAATATAATATGGATACCTTTGAAGTCCATGCATACGACCCCTCTACCGGTTTTCAGCAGCTCATGGCATCCCGCAGGATGAATACACCACTTTCCAACCATTCCCTGGTGATGGGCATACAGCGTTTCGCTGTAGAAGAGGCTTCAGTAAACAATCTTTTCTAAAAATTTAAATACTGGCACTTCTACTTATTTCGGATAGAGCAGAGATAGAGTCTCCAGCAGGTTATGACCCAAGAGCAGACAAGGCAAAAGCCGAACAGGTAATAAGAAGCATGCCCCACCCCCCCGCCTTTCACTGGCATGCCTACCACATCCCAGGCACTTCAGTGGGCACTACAAGCTGTGAACGTGAGAGACTCAGTCTGACTTGAAGCAGTTTGTTCACCAAGGCAGCATTGGGTTAAATGTCAAAACCAGGGTCCCACATGATATATGTCCACAGTGAAATCATCCTAATGGTGCTTAAGCCAACCTCCACTCCAGCCCTAGATTCTAACAAGTCCCACTGACTCTGGAGTTCTGTATGAAAAGCCCTTTCGTGCAGTTTCCTTCCAATTACATTTGTAGTAGAAAACAAAAGAACTCCCAACTAAATCGCAGAGGAGATGTTAACTTCCTTTTCTAATTCGGCCAGTAGTTTATCCGCTCAGTTTGCTCCCTCGTTTTCTTCCAGAAGCTAAAGGTGAAAGAGAAAGGTTCCCCCC